GGCAGCTGAGACTGTGTGGACGCAGGTGTGTCCGAGCTGATCGAGTGGCTGCAGGTCATGGCGTCTGGAACGGCTCACTGCAAGGGATGAATGACCTTGGGGCAACGGGGCCTTGGACAATGACGCCAGACTGACCCTGATGGCTGCCCGCAACGGTCTTACAAACCACCCGTAACATGGTAGCGCTTCTGCAACCTTCGGTATCACACATAGCCACTAGCATGATTAGAAGTAATATGAGCGGTGTACGAGGCCGGCGCAGAAGCACTTTTCGGTCCTTTACTAAACTGCAGTCTGCACAAAAACTCATGTGCGGGTATGTTCTGCGCTGAGCAGTCTAGCCTACCGCAAAGCCGATGGTTAGAATATGAATAAAGCTAGACAAGAAAATCGGCTTTCTGTTTTTTTCACACGCTCAAACACTGAGTTTCGCTGCTTCTGCTCAGCACGCAACCGATCATTCGGCCTATTACAGGTGGATGCGCGTAGAGGCAGATTTTTCCGCTTGGCCATAATATACGGCATTACAGCCATCGCGTGGGATCTTATAGACGACTTCCTTTTTATCGAGATAGCCAGCCCTATCCTCAGGGTGTACAAGCTGGGTGCGTAAAGTAGTCGTCGGCTTGTGCGACACTTATTTGGTGTTTCCTCAAGTGTCTTTCAACAAGTTCAGACACATTCCTGATGTAAGGAAGGATTCGCCAAGTATTTACTTTGGTCCCTTGATGGAAACAGTCTAGTTCCTTTGTTTTTATCTCTTGTTGTCCCATGCCTCGACGTACGAAATCTCTAGGTTAACCGTTCTGGGAAAGTAATTTAAACAGGTAGTTTAGCTCAACTTGGCAGCTTTTTCATCAGAGCAAGGTGTCTTTGCTCGATGTAGCAGACTTTTGGCAGTACTCCGCTTTTGAGAGATTGGGCTGTTGCTCTCATTGTGTAGGATTACTTCCGCATATGTTTCTTTGCGGTAAACGGACGTGGGTAATGTTCCGTCAGTCTTTCGCTGTACGAGAGCATCCAGAAGTGGGAGTTTACTGTCGAATTCTTTTTCGACACTGCATTTTGCTGCTTCTCTCCAGCACGCAACCGATCATTCCGCCTATTACAGGTGGCCAGGGAGGGGAATGAAACTATGAGCCAATCCAACCCCTGTTCACACAAACCTAACTCTAACCCCGGACATTCGCCCCTCGTAGCCCTAAGAGCATCCCCGGGTCCATATCGTAACCCTAACCTGTCCCTACATTGATTTTGCCAGGTCGGCGTATTGGGGTACCTGTACGCGTCTGGGAGGGCGGACGCAAGTAAGCACACCGTCCCAAAACGAGTACGAGCCTTCTTTAATCAACTTTTACGACTACGGAGCCTGCCTAGCCCCTAGTCGATGAGAGTTCTGGCCCTGGTGTGTTTGCGGTCGCTGGGGCTAAATCCTGGCACCCTGAAAAGCCCCCATGACCCACCGCATTCGTAGTTCAGTCCACATTTTGGGCTGGGCCGGGGGGGGGGGAGGCAGGGATGACGGGCAGGTGGCAGACGGTGGTAGCTGCCGCGTGGTGGGGGGGGGCGCTGACACGCCAAACTGACGATAGATCAATAAACACTGTGAGCCAGCCGGCCGGCTGGCCGGCTGGCCGGTCGGTTGCCGTCTCAGTGTTTACATTAGGACAGACCTGTGCATGGGCGCCTGCCGTCTCTCTGCCTCGCACACTGTCGGCGCGATCATCCCTAAATTCTGTGCCCAGCTGTGGCTTGATGGCAGGGTGCAAGTGCGGCCGACTCCGATACCGTAGGTGCGCAACCCACCTCTCCCACATCCCTTCCTCCTCCATTAGGTTATCCCTAGACCTGTGGGTCTTCGTTAATGGGGACCGCAGTCATTACGACCCTGATAGATGCTTAGACTCTGGTTTTACTGAGTGTGATGCTGATGGCTGATTGTGATTAAAGAAGGCTCGTACTCGTTTTGGTATGGTGCGCTTACTTGCGCCTGCCCTCCCAGACGCGTACAGGTAGCCTAACACTCCGAACAGACAAAATCAGTGTAGGGGAACAGCACAGCATAGGGACAGGTTAGGGTTACGATATGGACTTGGGTGGTAGTAGTAGTGGTAGCAGCAGCAGCAGCAGCAGCAGCAGCAGCAGCAGCAGCAGCAGCAGCAGCAGCAGCAGCAGCAGCAGCAGCAGTAGTAGTAGTAGTAGTAGTAGCAGTAGTAGTAGTAGTAGTAGTAGTAGTAGTAGTAGTAGCAGTAGTGTTTGAACAGAAGAGGGCTGCAAAATTAAGGTAAATCTTTTTTTCTGACCGGAGGACTCTATCCGTTTGCTTTAGTTAGACCAAATTATAACCAACCCACCGGAAATCAACCCCAGACCGTAATGTGTCCAGCGAATGAGACAACCCCCGACAGTAATATCATCACTCATTGACGCCCATATTTTAGACTGTGAATTTCCTACTAAATCCACCACCGTTTAGTTATTGAACCCTGCTCGTATAATCATGCGTAATTGCAGTTAAATCCCCTACCATATCAATTGAAGTTAATTCCCAATATGTCGCCTCTTAAAGTTATCACGCCTTCTTTTTCTACCACTTCCATGTGATTTCCGCGTCCGCCAAGCCGACAAAACCAAGAGAGACTGGGGGTGGCCATTTCTGGCTTATCAGCCGTCGTCAGCCAGTGATATCCAACCTCGAGGTGTGGAACTGTTGGGGCCCGATCTCGCGACCTGTTAGTTAGATGTACACGCCTCGGTGAGCGCTCCTCTACCATTGTACATTCCCGATCTCAACCGACAGGACAACGAGCCCGTGGCTCAACAGTTAGAAACGTTGAACTTCTAATCAACAGGCCGCATGATCGAGTTCTAGGCATTCCACACTTTGGGGCTGGATATGATAAGCTGGCGACGCCTAATAAGCCGAAAATTCCATTCCAAATTCCCTTGTCTTTGCCGATAATGTCATTTGTTTCATTGATCACTATTCTGCCTATATGTCATGTGCCTCAGTGCGGCCGCTGGTCGGGCTGGCGAGAGAGACCCCTAAGGCATAACGGGACGAGTGAATTCCGTAAAAACAATCGGTGAGCATTGTTCTACCATAGTAGGTGATCTATCTGACGAAAGGTGCCGGAATTTACAAATTAGTGCTAATCATCGGAAAACCGACACCAATGCATGGACCTAACATCTATATTTATAAAAGACAACTTTATGGGAACTGAAAACATAAAATAAATATTAGAAGTACGTTATTCAGAAACGCCTCTTTTTCGGAAAAGCGGAAAATTCCGAAAACGTCAGAAAATAGTTTTACTTGATTTAATTGCAGTTTTAGATGTGTAGGTTGTCCATCCATTCAAAAATTGAGTAAATATGACAGCATATATAGAATAACGTTTAACAATAGTGTCTTAGTGAAGCTTACGGAAAAATATATTTTGAGAATTATTGCAATGTAAGGTGTGACGGTTTACCAACAGCTTACATTCTGAGCATAAATTCCAAAACTTTTTCCCTATAATTCGTTCTATTTCTTTCGCTTTTGCATTAACTGGGATGCGATACACTAAGGTCAGGCCGGTTGGTGACTAATAAATTGAATTATTTTTGGCAGATCGTCAGCATAGTATTTTGTATATATAAAGAGGATTTTTCTTCCTTGAAATTAATTTGTAAAGGTTTGCTAAAATGACTTCCAAAAATCGATAAAACGTCGGGTTCTCTAAAAACAATCTGTGTTAGCACATTGACTCCCATGGTTAGCATCAGACAAATGATCAATTTTCAAGTCCGACAAGCTCTTTTTGGTAGAACTCTTCAGAGTAAATTACTCCTCTCTCAAAGAAAAACACGCTCAGATGCGCAACCGAAGTCTAGGACAGGTATTGGCACGGGAACCTGCCCGGATATATCACAACGTGCATTTTCGCTCAAATTTATGGACAGTTTGTTTTAAAAAATGGCGTGAACATGTTTTCTGCACAAGGGCATCTACTTGAGGGGGTTGAACGAGCGAGCAAATCGCGCAACGTTTAATGCGTCCGAAAATGCCCATATCATTTTCTGCCATCAAGTTTCCTGAGTTATGTCACATACCGAACACTCCCAAGTAATTTGTCGACCAACACTATATTGAAACCCTACGATCGCAGTATATGTCGGACTGAGCAACCGAAACATCCTTGTGACTTCATACTACCATTTCTCTTAGTTTTTCGGCCACTTTAAAGGGCTTTAATTGCGGCTGGTTTGGACATTTATTCTCATGTATCATTTTGCCCGCCCTTCAGTCGACGGTCAATGATCTTGCCTGGTCTCCTAAACACGCCTGCATCTTCGCATGCACCAACGACAGTTACCTAGAAATCTGGAATCTGCAGGCCTCGACGTAAGTTTTACTAAATGCGTTCTCCTACCACGCGTCCTTATATTTTTTTCAAGGGGAATATTTTTGTTAGGAGTTAACCTCTCTACGTATAAGAAGCTTTTCTCGCATAAATCCCCTCTTCTGGTGAAAGATCTTCCCCCTGGTAGTAAAACGGGTTGTGACCAATATCCAGTCTCGGTCTTCGTCAGTTCCGACATCCCTCACTTCAGCAGCTGCATTAGACCCGACTGTTCACATTTCATTGAGAAAAATACTGACTCAGCGCCCTCTACAAAACCTGCGGTTGGAAGCTTGTCTTCACATTAGAGGCAGCTGTCTACGAGCAGCCAAATTGGTACCGCAAATGCATTTACTGAAGTTTAGAAACAATATGGCTGACATACCTGTCCCCAGTAAAAACAGAACTGGCCGGTGAGTTATGCCATCAGGACTATTTTGCCGGAAGCTAGTGGAACTTTTGATAAACAAGTGAGACCTGAGTTAGCAAAAGTGCGGAAATATGATGGAAGGCCGTATATCGCCGCCTTGAAACTTTGACAAAAAATGAGGTTGGAAGACAAAAAGAAGTCTCCTGAATTGAGATTTTATTATACACTCTTATCCAACCGAATTACATAACCAGGCGTTCCAGTGTTAGGGTTTAAAGCCAGCCTTAAGACTTTATGTATCAGGGTTTTCTACTTATTCACACGGAGTGAGACTACGTTCTTTAGAATCAACTCATTTTTCGAAGTAAGCACAGAGTTTGACAAAAGTGAGCTCCCAGTGGTAAAAAAACGATTTGTGATAGAAGGTTTCAATAGACTGGTCCGAAACGCAAAGTTGATTGAGTACAGATTGACGGCAGAGAACCGCCAGCAGAAAAATAACAGTAGCAGTAGCAAACGATGAGAAAATGGCGGTTCCTCTCGGAGGCCGACAGTTGTGGGATCAGGCTAGTGCTTGGCTAAGTAAGCGCTCCCGACAGACTTGAACATGTGATCCCGTCAACTGAGTAGTGCTCATGGAACCGAGTGCTGCAGCAGTCGCCAGTTCCCTGAAAGTTCCATGACCGGGTGGATGATCGACAAATGAAATCCTCTCCAAAAAGGCCAACCAACCACGATTAACTCACCATCCTAGTCCCCTTATAATCTCCAATAATAAAAAATCCTTCCGAGCGATAAGAGGCTGTTCCTTGAGTAAACATAGCTCTTTACATCCTCAATCGAAGGTTTGTTTCGCCGCCGTGTACCCTTGCGGAATCCCCTTTAAGTGGAAGACCTAAGAGGTCTGTTGTCTTCAAGTATCAGGGGCTTGAACATCTCGTATTGCAGCTTTCAGGATGGTTTTTTTGGAATGAATAGGACCGTGCCGCAGACCTGTTCGTATCCTCACATCATCCTCTCTGGGTGGGGAGAAGGCCACACAGTAACCACTTTTCCTGTCATGTAATAATCTGATAGCGAACTCAAGGTCAGAGGGTAAGGGAACATTAATAACATAACAGGGCGCCTCAGTTACTACGACAATCAACAGCTGGTTCGGCTTTTCCAAGGGGAGTGGTCGTCCCTGAGCAGGTGATTCATATGTACAGGGAATTGCAGTGTTTATGACACGGGAAGCGTCCACCTCATTCTCTCTGTGTTCCAACCTAGTGATGTCTGGCGTCCGTGTTAAATGTCCCGCTGCGTTAAGCCATTCACCTCCGCAGCTAGCGGATCCAGACCCAGCAACCCTGCAGCTACTTCGGCTCGGACCGTGCGTCCAGACAGTCACGACGGCCTCTGCGCCGCTTGGGCACACCACCCCTCAGCGAATGCAACTTAGGCCATTAGACACCCGCCCTCCCTTGGGCTAACGCAACACAAACTAGTCAGATAACACTCGATCTTGTTTCCCACAGACCTACTAAAGCAGCTGCCACCACTTGTACCACCTCTCTCTCTCTCTCTCTCTCTCTCTGGCATGACTGGACGCGGTCAACAGTACCCCTAGCCCGGCCATTAGCCACTGCTGCTTGACTTGGCCTGAAGATCGTGGCGCTCAATTGCTTAGACGCTAGAAAATCAAGTAGTGGTGGCTAGTAACAATGTCGGGACCAATTGCCGCGCAACAATTCGCCCTCCCTCCTGCTGCATGTATGGTGGTCAAGGATCTGGGATTAACTTAAACCACAAACAATAATTTCGTTCCG